TAAGAACTTTATTTAGAAACTTTCTCTCAGCTATATTACCTCAGAGGACACACTTAGGCCATTTCATTACCGCAACTCGTCGTCGGCTAAAACGTTCAAGCTTCTGACAGCGTGCAGGGTCCTTTACTTAAAAAAAGAAATGTTCATGTGAAAAGTAGAGCAGAGTGTTTGTGTACCTGGTCCTGCTCTCCCCCTCCCTCCTCGTTGTAGTTGAGGATGTTTTCACGGATGTCCTCCCAGCTCTCGTGCTCAGCTGGGATGTGGTAAACTCCTCGCTTCCTGAACTTGTTTCGGCTGCCTTTCTGGTTCCACACCGTCACCGCCACCAGCACCGCTACACACACACACACACACACACACAGAGGAGGACAGGATAAATATGCATTTTTTTTTTTTTTTTTGCGTGAATGTGCTTCTGCACCACTGGGACAGACATTAATTTCCTTCCTGTACATTTGTAGCAGTGGCTCATTAAAGCTGCTCTGTGGAGTCATTTAGCCTCAATAAATCAGTACCAAGTTCATTTAGAAACATTAGTATAATTACTCCAAACAGGTGAAAAACAAACGAGCCCACCGTTGGGAGGAGGACTATCAGGGCTTAACAGCCTCCACGCAGCATTTTTCATGCATGAGAGCTACAAGGTCGGATTTTAGAAGGAAATCTGTTTAAAAAAAAATCACCTCCAACCTATTTGTTCTCTTCAGGGGAGTGCAGGAAGCGAAAGAGCTGTGGTGAAATGAAGTGTAATAATGGTAACAGTACAGCTAGCGTGGAGCCGGAGGAAGCGACCGTCCATTGATTAGCTGTTGATCATATATCAGCCGCTAAAAAGTGGAGCACCTGCTCGTTATGTAAGCTTTACGTAACTGAATTCTCTCTGCATCAGCACAGTTTGGATAGTTGTGGTCGCTGTTAATGGAAAAGCTATCGATCTGCAAACAAGTTTAGAACAAAAGGTCTTCAGAGGAGATGGTTTATTTGGTGGCACATGTATGTATGAGTGTGTGTTCGTTCGTCTATTATCTATACGCCGCTTTATCCTGTGAGGGGTCATGTGGGGGCCGCTGCCTGACCCAGCTTGTCCCGACCTTGTATATGTTTGTATGTGCGAACAAGTAATTTCCTTTGTCCTTTTGTTTTTAGATTTTTTAAAGCTCTACATATGAGTTTAATTCAAGCCAGACTCCTCACATGACTCCGGTGAGGCTTGAATTTGATGCCGTTAAACTTCACCTGAAACAGTCAAGTAAAGGTTTGGAGCTGGACTCAGAACATCAAGCTTGAGAGTTAATCATGGCTTGGAAAATAATGACTAATAAGAACTAATATTGGTGTTGCTATTTTTCTTGAGGCACAAAATGAATAGAAATGGCAAACAATAAATAATATTGCAGTTTGTAATACTCTGTAATACCTGCAGACATTTCAAAGTTTTTCCTTTCAGCTGAATGCAACCTAAAAAGTTCAGCTCTTTGAATCTACTTCGCTAACGAACGTCTCTCGGGCCTCACCGAAGAAGACGAGCAGACACATGCTGATGGCCAGGATGGAGCTGGGGCTCAGGGCGGCCAGCCGGTGACCTTTGACCTGGCCCAGCTCGCACCGCTGACCCCTGAAGCCCTCCTGACACCGGCACCGGTAGCTGTCGGGCGAAAGCGCCTGGCAGACGCCGCCGTTACGGCAGGAGGAAGGTCCGCAGGGCGACGGCACACAACGCTGCTGACCCGAATCGTCCGTCACCGTCACCTGACCGCCGGGACACCTGGGACGGAAATCAGGACGCAGGAGAAGATCAGCGAAAGGTACTTACCTCTTAAAAACCTGCTATTAAAAAAAAGTACTTTTACTTACACTTTACCAATATATTACATAGAATTCTAACAGGAATAACTAGTGAATAATTAGTATCTAGTGGTATTGATGCATGTGTGCCAGTTTGTGTAACCGTGTCATTTACTTGCACTGGTGCTTCCTCCACAGGTCGATGCAGCGCAGCGGGCTGCGGCAGGGTTGGCTGCTGCAGGCGTCGCTGGAGCACCCTGAGGTGACGCCCCGCCTCTCCAGCACCGTCACCAGGTCCCGGCTCTGCCCGTCCAGAGGGAGGACCTGACCGTTAAAGCGAAGGTCCCGCAGACAGCCTGGATGAGAAAAGGTCCAGTTTGGTTTAGAATCCGTCGGTATGGTTTTTACAAGCACGCCTAAAAGGACTGCTGTTGATTCTTCAAGGACAATACAAGGGTTTGTCAAAGGTCATGTGATCGTTAGAGGAGCTAAAACTACCTTTTGCTTGTCTCTAGCAGAAGATACAGCGGATTAGTAAACGAAGCCAGTCACTGTTGTGTTGAGGAGTATTTGGAATTAGACCATCTACTTTATGTACTACAAATTATTTCTTAAAATGAAAACTATGCATTTTCCAAACTAGGTATCTCACCAAACCCCTTACAGCAGGGGTGTCCAATCCTGGTCCTTGAGGGCCACAGTCCTGCATGTTTTAGATGTTTCCCTCGTCCAACACACCTGATTCAAATGATCAGGATCGTTATCAGGCTTCTGCAGAGCTTGATGATGAGCTGATCATGTGAATCAGGTGTGTTGGAAGAGGGACACATCTAAAACATGCAGGACTGTGGCCCTCAAGGACCAGGATTGGACACCCCTGCCTTACAGACTGGTGGACTCCAGCCAGTATTGGATGTAAATAGTTTAAACCTGTATTTTTACTTTTTTTTCCAACAAGACCTTGATGCAAACCACAAAGATTTAAGGAAAACAAACCATTGTGCTCAGAAAATCAAACCTTACACCAATCTTTATTTTGCAACTCCATGTTTTCTTTCAAAAATTGCCCAAACAAGGACAAATCCTAAGACAACTTAAGTGTATTTATTTTAGTATGACAAGAATTTACCCATCTCCTCTCATGATTTGTAAAATAAAACGACTTCATGACACGAATTCTATCCAGATCTCACCTTGAAAGTTGGCCTTGTCTCCGGCGCTCAGTCCGTTGCCAACCATCAGGCTGGCCGGGTGAACCACCATCTCCCTGCGGCTCCCCAGCTGGGCCTGGACCTCCCGCGAACCTCCGCCCTGCTCTAGCCTCAGGGTGAACATGTTGTCATGGCGACTGAGGCTAACCAGCACCCACTGCCCGATGTCGACTCGCTGGCCGGGGAGCCTCAGCGCGTGGGCAGCATCGCCCAGGTTGGCACGCACCGAGATGTGACCCTCTACGATCTAACACAGAGAAAAAAAACATTTCCCCTCAGAAACCCTCACATGATGTCTCATGTTTATCTCAGTTAGGGCTCTGTGTGGACTCACATCCTGAAGAAAACATACAAATAGTGCAGTTTAAAGACATATCCTGCAGACAGACTAGTGTGGAAAATAAAAATACACATTGTACATTAAAAAGTCCCGTCACACATATATTTTGCATGATCATTTCCATTTTTCATACTGATGCAGCAATGTGTAAACAAAGTTTTACTTGTCAAGAAAACATTAGTTTTAAATCCAATCCAATGGTTCAGGTCCCTCAAGAGAGTAACAACATTTTTATTTGGATTAGTTTTTAATCTTCTCTAATATCTCATTTTGTTGTATTAATTTTTTGTTTAAAACTACAGCTATTCAGAGATATTGATGAAAATATATCAGAAATTTAGCTGGAAATTGCTTTAAAAAATAAGAAAATGTACAGATGTGTGAAAATGGGACCCAACCAGACATTATTTTTTGAAACTTATCAAAATGGTTGAATACTAACAATTATAGTTTGGTATTTTATGTAGTTTTCTGGGTATAATTGTACAAAATCTTAATGCTACAACCTGGCAACAGTGACAAAAACAGTCAGATGTAGTGGGGCAGAAAGTGCACTATCACCCTCTGAAATGGTGCAACATAAAATGGATTACTGAAGCATCTATAAAACAAATATATGAGTCTGAGCTGCAGCTATTTAAAGAAAGAGTAGGGACTGCTTTGTTATGTAAATGCTTTCTAAACAGTGATAAAAGCCGGCTAATCTTTGTGTATTGAGAAGTCAAAGGTCGGTCGGTTGGTGATGTGTGAAAGGTGAGCTGACCTCCAGGATGATGTACTCGCTCGCCTCCCGCGACGCCACCGACAGCAGAGTACCTGACGTGGCTCTGGTTCGAAGGAGCAGCTGGATGTTGGTGCGTCGGGAGCTGCCGCCTCCTCTGAGCTGGAAACGCACCACGCTGCCCGAGTCAAAGGAGAACTCTGGGACGGCTGACAGAGGAGGAGGAGATGTGGTGAACTTGTGTGTAGGCCTGGTTACTTTACAGACAGTCTGGACGGGTCATGCAGGGCTCATGTTGGGTCAAATAATCTTGGATTAAATATAAGAGTTCATGAGTGCTGTTGATGACAGTTATAAAGGGTCCCTGTGATCGGTTTGGACACTGTGTGCCATAACACCCTGACAGAAGACTTTTCTGCTCAGGATTCTCGCAGCTTTTGTGCAAATTAGCATCTTAAAGGAAAGTTTGAGATCTTAAATTTATATGTGATCCCAAAACAAGACTTCAGGGTTGAGCCGTGCTGATTAATGCTGTATACAGTTTCTTACCTTTGTCACACTTGTGTCCGGTGTATCCTGCGTGGCACTCGCAGCTGAAGGAGCCCCAGTCGGCGAGGCAGGAAGCGTGAAGCCCACAAGAGGGACCCGCCGCCGTCACGCACACCCCGTCTGTGAGCCTGCACCCCGGGGTGCTGTCCACGCTCTCACCTGGAGACGCCAGATCGTACACCTGAGGAAGAAAAGGAGGCACGATGTGACAAGGGGGATGTTTTCACTCATCACCATCACTGCAAAGCATCCATCCATTCATCCATCATCTATGCAATCCTCACTAGGGTCGCGGGGGGCTGGAGTCTATCCCAGACTTAGGGCAGACAGACAACCAAGCACACTCACATTCACACCCACGGACAATTTAGAATCACCAATTAACCTCAACATGTTTTTCGACTGTGTGGAGAACCCGGAGAGAACCCACGCTGCACGGGGAGAACATGCAAACTCAACAGAAAGATCCCGGGTGTCCTCACTGGGACGTGAACCGGCGACCTTCTTGCTGTGAGGCGACAATGCTAACCACCTCGCCACCTTGCAGCCCTCATTGCAAAACAACACTTCATAAAAAAGCCCAGTGACTTAAAACGCTTGCTGCCTCCAGTTATGCGATCCAGGCTGCGTTCACAGTCGACGTTAGATTAGAAGAGGTTTTTTTTTTTCTTTTCTTTTTTTTTTAATTCTCCAGTTTTGCTCCTTTGTCTGTCGAATGCAATAAGACAGAATTTGACATGCACTCAATTTCTAAACATGCCCATTGTTTTCAGCTGGCAGCCGTACTCCGGTTGCATTTTGTGGTGCGTCAATCCACCTTAACGCATGAACTCCAAAATGTGTTTTGAATTTTTTCTAAAAGGAATCAAGGAACCAGCTCCGAGAACAGAGCAATGAAAAGCATGCAGCGGAGGATTATGTTTCTCTTTCTTTCAGGGTCTTGAAAAGCAGCTTTCTTTTGTCATAAAAAAAAATCTGGCCACGTGAAAGCTAAGCTACGGAATATGAAAGGGTTCCTCGTCTGCGGAGCGTAGTTGTGCTGAGTGATGTTAATTATCCCGCTAACGTTCTGATGTTCTTTTTGCACGAGAGGAGGTTCTGTCCTGATGGTGGCACCAGAGGAAAGGTGAGAGGCCTGCTGAACATTATTGTTCAGTCTCTTTGAATCATGATGGACCAAAGGATGGAAAGATGCACGGCTTCATCTAGGATTCCCAATATAGGCGTTTCTTTAAAACTTCATCTGATGTGCAGTTTGCCGACAAAAACACTTGTGTCAGTGCATCTAAAATCTGATTCTATCACAGCTGAGTATCACTTGAACTCTGCTGATGCCAAATAGCAGCAAGAGGCTTAAAAAAAAAAATGCCGATACCTTCAGGTGGTGTCGTGCTCGTCATCTTTAAAAAGAATAAATTTGGACGAATCATATGTGTGTATACGAGGACGACATAACCCTGTGATCCTGCAGCAGCTCACAAGCTGGCAAGATGTTGATTTTATTGATTTTATATGTTCTTGAATCTTTCAACAAAATTTTTTTCCCACCAACTTTTCCAACTTCCGTGCTCACACAGCAGAGCTCGATCAATCTGTCACAACAGGGTGCCCAGACTGAGGGCACACACGGTGGATCGGTTTTGAATTTTCGACTGATAATTCCAATGAAGTTTCAATCAGACAAAACAGCTGCTTTGACTCACTTGTTAAATTTGTAAGAACTTCATCAATCAGTGCTCTCTTTGGGGTCCTCCTTGATCTCTAACTTCAGATATCTAATACTGACCCCCTCCTTCTACTTTCTGGAGGAATTGTATGTTTGCTAACTGTAATCATATTCAGCTTCTTGTTCTGTAGCGACACGTGGAAAAGCTTTCACTTTATTTACAGTTTCGTAGTTTATTTGCAGAGTGCGAGGCAGAGTAGTGCGAGGTGCACATAACCAGCTGTGGCTCAGGTGGTAGAGCGGTTGTCATCTGATCGTAAGGTTGGCGGTTCGACCCACCGTCCCTTCACAGTCGAAGTGTTCTTGGGCAAGACACTGAACCTGAAGTTACTCCCAATGGCAGGCAGCACCTTGCATGGCAGCTCTGTCGCCATTGGTGTATGAATGTGTGTGAATGGGTGAATGAGAAACACATTGTAAAGCACTTTAAGTGTCGCTAAGGTAGAAAAGCGCTATATCACTGCAGAGCATTTACCATAATTCCATAAATGTACATTTCCCCTTTTGATTTAAAAACAAAAAAAAACTACTACTGTATTATTTTACATATTTTCTCATTACTACTATGTACAAGCCAAAACATTATGACCAGATAAAGGGAATAACACTGATTATCTTGGAACAATAGCACAAGCCGCTGTCTGAAGGCCAAACGTGAACAGATGGTTACTACAGTCAGGATGTTGGATGCAGGAGAAACAGGCTGATTTAAAACAACTTGCTATGGCCAGATCACTGGGTTGGAGCATGTGAGACTTAACACCATGGACTTCAAAAATAGAAGACCCCTCTGACATATTTTTTTACCTTGCTCATATGTCCCTATGGTGTTTTTTGTGTGCTAAAACACACTCAGAGTTAGAAAGCCATAGTTTCATATTCAGCAAACCTAAAGCACCGCTAATGCCAACTTACAACGAGCGTGTTTTCTGTAACATTTTTCTTTTTCAGAATCGAATTCTGGTTCAGACGTGTACGCCTCAAATACCCCGTTATTAACACTGTGTAGCGAAGAGTAGTTCTGCATTGTTTGAAGAGAGCTGTGGGTGAGCTGGTGTGCTCTAGCTGCACTTCATAGACGTGCACATTCTAAAGAAACTGTAGAGTTCCATTTACGCCATTTTAAGTCAGTAAGGGATCATTTTCATTGAAAGAAATTTAAAATACGCACCTTATGTTCAAAGAGAAAGAATAAAAAATTACGACTTCAACATCTGCTTATGTAACTTAAAATAAAATCAACTTTAGCACAATCCTGAAGCCTAGTACACACAAATCTTTCTTTGTTTTTCAAAAATAAACTAACCTAAAATTGATTGAACACACAATCTACGCTGCCGTGCCAAACAATATGACTCATTGCTATTAGTCCTCTATCATTGCAGCTGTGGTGATCCTCATAAAGAATGAGAACATGATCCCAAACTCTCCACCGGCTGCAGGAAAACAACCCCGAAACTCAAGGGATTATGGACAGAATGAGACGGTTGCTGCAGCGGTGGGCAGATGCTAACATGCTTCCCCATCTTCTTGTTTTAAAATCTGGCCGACGTCTTTCCCTGGGAATATTTTGGGATCGTCGGGTGCTGGTTGAGGTTTTTGCTCAGCAGCAGCAGAGGAACCGCAGCAGCTTGCTGAATTTCAGGCGGCCGAGGCGGAAGCGGGAGGTTCTTTTCATTTATATTATATTTTGGACTGTGATGTTGTTATGTTGGCCTTGGCAGACGAGCCGAGCTCAGACCACCATCTGTCTGACCACCGTCCCCCGTGGTACATGCACGCACACACTGACGCAACACACACACAAACACACACTATCCACCAAGGACTGGAGAGGAGTGAATACATGCATGCACAAACACACACACACACACACACACATACACACACATGCAGACCGACAGACATTAAAACTGCATTCAAAGTCAAGAAACATACACACACGTGGGAAATGCTAATGATCTGTGGAGTGGAAACACACACACACACACACACACTGAGCTATGCTTCCACTACTTCAGAGGACATTACACTGACTTACATTCATTTCACAGGGACCTTATCTAACCTTAACCATCACCACCACTTTCCAAACCCCAACATTTACCCTGAACCTCACCAAAACCTTAAAAATAAGGCTCAGAAGGAGAAGCACATCCCCACAATGTGACTGTATGAACAGATTTATGCCCCCACAAAATGAATAATACACACACAGACAGTCGTGTTACCTGACTGTCGACCACCAGGTTGCGGATGCAGCCGGTGAAACTGCGATAACGGCGGTGAGGAGACATGTCTTTCACGCCTCCCAACTGAAGAGGCTGGAAAACATTCAGATACCTGAGGGAGGAGAGGAGGAGGAGGAGAGGGTGAAGAAGACAGACAAAAGAAGAACATGAAAAGAAAGAGGAGGACAATGAACAGCAGAGGCAACGGGATGGGAAGTAGTAGGGGGAAGAATGATGGGGGAAAAAAAGAAGTGGACAGAGGAGGAGATGAGGAAACAAGAAACAGAAAGTGGAGGATGGGATATGTGAAGTGGGTTGTAGTGGGTCAGAAAGATGAAAAGGAGGAGGAAGGGAAGATGTACAAGTAAAGGGGGTAAATGGAGAGGAGAAGAAGGAGTACAGGAGTAGTGGGTGGAAATGGGAGAAAAAAGAGGATTAGGAGGAGGTGGAGAATGAGGTGAAAGAGGAGGATCCAAGTGAAGAGGAGGTAAAAGAGGAAAAGCAAAACAAGGGATGAGATGTAAGGAGAGAAAAGAAGGAAGAGAATTAAAGTTTTCAGACAAAAGTTTTCCCATCTCTGTGTCTGCAGTGATGTAGATCTTTAGTGTCTCCTTACCGCTGGTTCCCAGGTGTCTCTCCTGCAGCTCTGCAGCTGGACTGGTCGGTATCCTGAGCCTCCCCTCCGACACCCTCCAACTCATTCACCGCCACCCCTCCACACTGGTCCAGGATCAGCTGAACGGCCTAAAAATAGAAGGAATGAGACCCAGACTGCTGACAACATGCTTCACTTCTTATCATTCTCCCACAGAACGAAGGCTACCTCATGCTATCCCTCTTTTCTGCTCGTTTTGCAAGCTTTCCTTTTCTCACTCCTCTGTGATTAACAACATGCACTGCATATTTCAATATTGTACTTTGGTTTGTCTGTATTTTGTTAAACATCTTCCCAAGTATAACTGATACAAGCCCTGTGCACCGATCATCCATTCATGCATCTGCTCATCTCATCAATACCTTTCCGTCGCTGATGATGTCGAGGCGATGCCAGCGCCGGTCGGTGACGGTGGATTTGGGCGGGAGCTGCAGGGTCAGCGTTCCTGATCCGTGGTTTATGCTCAGAGCTGGAACCCCGTTCCTCAACTCTGGATGGAGAGGTGAGTAGTAAAATCTCAGTAAAGTTGAGTTTGTGCATGTAAAAAGACACAGCAAGTGATTAAAATGAGTTTTAAAGCACTCGTTGAGCCTGCAACAAGTCATTGTTGAGACGTTCGTCCATGAGAATAGAACATTTTTGCTTTCCATAACTTCATGTTGCCGTGTCAATTCAAATCAAATGCAACGGCGGTTAAACTTAAAATAAGATCTTCGCCTCCGGAAAGTTGACGCTTGCCCCAACATCACTTCTCCGTATTGCTGTGTAAGCTGCTGAATCCCATCAACAACTGCAGAAATCCCCGCCATCAATCCTGAGTGCGTGTATCTTCCAATATCCTCTCAACTGCTGTCGCTATCCGATGAGTGAGTTTGACCTGATCAACCTCACAGTCACGTTATTGAACATGTAAGTGAAAAACGCTCCGGAGAGATCGATGCCGCGACCATCTTTGATTTTCCCCTCCCCCGGATCGACGCGGGCAGCAGCTCCGAGTTCGATAATTACATAACTTTAATGCCACAAGATTATGCAAGAAGTGTTGGAAAGGCCATCTGCAGTCTAATCCGTTAACACCAGACCAGGACCGCTGGGAGCTGACATTAGTTTATGAAGCTCTTCATCCACTGAGAAACTGTCTTTACAGCAGCGGACTGACGAACGTTTCATGTTTGTTAAAAAGGACGAGCTGCGGCACGTTCCCACCAGCACTGTGAGATTAGTGTGTTTGTTGTAGAGCTTAGAAGTAAAAAATAATGTTTTAACTTCCTGCAAAAGGGTGCAAGCATAATTTTCAGCACTCGTAGAGCAGCGAAGGATCCACACCAACATCCCAGAAGCTGCTCCTGAGCTGCAAACTTCAGGAACGTCTCACAGGATGGTGTGTGTTGTTGGTCAGTTGGTGAATCTTTTTCTTTGTCTGACACCTTCTCAACTCTTCCTGGAATGTAGTTTTTAAATTCAAAGATCCAATAAATAAGATGCGACCCAGGACCTCAGTACCGGCCAGTGACCAATCGTGTTTATTCTACTGGGTTGGGTCAGTTCCTCTTCTGTTGCTGCAGCTTCCTGATCACAACATCATCACTGCTGCTCCTAAAATTTCTCATTTCCGATGATGCTTTTTTCCACAATAGCATTTTCCATTAATGCCTTCCATTACTAATAGAATTAAAAACAAAAACACCTTTATTAATAACTAAGGCCAAGCCAGCTAACATTTGAACAAGTGCACTTAAAATATTCCATTTCATTTGCAGCCGTTATACAATCAGCCAACGTTTACGGCTGGAGCGTTATCAGAAGCTGCTTCATTTTATTATTTTAAAGCAAAATGCAAAGTTCACCAGCCGCCATCCTGACACAAGGAGGAATAACTGCAACTCTTGCACAGTGTTTTTATACAGCTGATAGTAACAGCTGATGCAACATCACATCATCATCATCCGCACATGTCAATCTCATCTGATGCAATCTGTGGGAAATGTTGCCACACACTTCGTTTATTTCCAGCAGCAATTACAGCTTTAAGGGGTGATTTTGCTGATTAACCCAGAACGAGCTTTAAGACGAGATCACCGTGAGTCTAAAGTATTTATGTGCAGTACCTATGAAGTGCAAACTTTTTTTTCTTGACCGACACTTTGGTCCGTATCTTGTAAGAATCTATAGCGGTGTTGATTTTCATGGATGGATGCAGCCCAGTACAGCGAGGAATGCCCAGACCTGTACATCAGGGAGACAACAACCGCTCCACCTGCGTCTTAAGGACAAAGGACACTCATTCGAAGACAGATTTTGGCCTGCAGGGAGGACAGATGGTTTGAGAGAGGGGTGGAAGAAGCCATCTAACTGGAAAGACCATCCCTCAACAGAGGTGGAGGTCTGAGGCATCACCTCTCACCTGGTTACAATTCAGTCCTAAGATCTCTCCCCAGGAAGATGAAACCACATCCACACCTAACCACAAAAGACCCTAACGAACCCCACTGTGGCAGGGGGAGCACTAACGACCCACATAACGAGGGGGAGGAGCAACAAACCCCCAATTGAAACTGAAACTCAGTGTTAATGGCTCCTTTAGGATATAAGTATGTGGAACTCCCAACTAGTCAGTCAGAAATGATGAAGCCTCTTGGATGAAGGTGGAACGTCTTCAAGGAACTCAAGCAAGTCCGATTAATCCACGAGAATAACCACGACCTGGATGACTGAGAACCTCCACAGACATGCAAGAGCTTTTCTTTACAGTCATGAACATTTCTACTTGTAATCCAATAATAAAACCCTCTCGTCCAGTGGTTTGTTTTTGCTCTCAAACTTACACGATACTTGTCATGTTATGTGCGGTAGAAGGGAAGCAAAAACACTCATTTAAATGCGTCACTAACTGCCACTGCAGCCAACTCACCTACTGCGATGAAGTCCTCCTGCTCCCCAGAGTGGACGGGACCGAGCGGCCCGTTGTAGAGGAGCAGCCCGTTGGACGTCTCAGCCAGGAACTCCAGCGAGATGTGGCTCTGGAAGCACGGCATGATGGGAGGGAACCAGGCGTAGCCCTGACCGCCGAAGCTGTGTTTGGTCTGCTGGCACTCGGGGCCGTCGAACATCGGAGGACACTTACATCTGAGAGGCAGAGGGTTTATTGTAATAACACATCTCCAGCATCTCTCCTCTTATATGGTTTTCCTGCTTGTGGGGCATCATGATAGAATACTGTTCACCCATTTAAATGAGGCCCTGTATGTTTTTTCATTCATGTATTTTCTGTTAATTCACCGTGAGCCAACGCCTATGGGAGTCTGAAGGAGAAACTAATTTAATTATATTTTAATTAATCTCTTTACAAAATCAAATTCGAAGCAAACACTGATTTTTTTGTTCTCCAAAACCCTCCCTTTCATTGTATTGACTTAAACAACCCCTCCGACTAATTCCCCAAACAAAAACACTGAGAACACGACCTCCGTTACACCAATTATAAAAATCTGTGTCAGTTTCTGTGGCGGCATTTCTTTCCCGACGAGTTAAAACGAACCGAGAGATCAACAGACGGAAAGACAAACACACAGAAACCGAAACCTTAAAAGAAAAGCTGAAAATAACTTTAACGTATATTTGTCGGCGTTAATGAGCTTTATTGAGAGCAGAAGAAGGAATAAAAAAAAAAGAAAGAGCGAGAACCATCCGTCAGATTTTAGCAAATGAAATGTTTCATCCAATATCTACACCATTAAAGTGATGTGACAATTCAAAGTCAGCTACTGTACACGCGGCGGGAAAATGAGGCTTTGGAGTGTTATTACTCCAAGAGAAATCCGCTGCCTCTCTTATTAAATCTTTAAAACGTCTGACAGATTCGCCTGGAGTTAATCAGTTAACAAATGGGGGAAAATTTCTGCCTGCTTCAGACGGTGACTCTAACAGTTGGGGACCCTGAATCTGCGGCAGGCGAACAACCAGCAGACTTCTAATCAGTGCTGTCAGGTGAAAACTGTGGAAACGCAGAGCTGCCACGGTGAGAAAAGTCAGAGAGAGAGAGAGAAAAAAAAAGACTCACAGTATCTCATTATAAAGAAAAACTTTTCTTGTTATAATAATGCTTTTTATCGCAGCTTAGTTTCAAAGGGAACAGTGTTTTAGAAACTACTACTGTTGAAATTTGACAACAAAAGATGACAGTGCGAAGCCATCCTGAAGGGAATATATTTGCTCGCACCGTCTGCACACTCGTAACTATCCCACTTATGCAGCTTAGTGGAAATGTAGCCGGGCCAAGCTTCATATTTAAGCTGGTTGGGATTACATAGAAGACACAGAAAGGCGTCCTTGCACCCACCGGTATCCCAGCGGTCCGTCCTGGCAGGTGCCCCCGTTGAGGCAGGGGCTGACAGGGTAGGAGGAGCAGGGCAGGTGGAGCGCCTCTCGGCCCTTGCAGCCACACCGGGCGGTGGAAGAGGCCGACAGCGACACCAGAGAGACGTTGCCGGAGCTGAGGGCCGCCGGCGTCTGGCTGAACGAAACCTCGTTGCTGCAGCCGCCGGACTGACTGCAGTCTGTGGAGGGACAGTCGTCCACGCCCACCTGAGAGACGGACACGCCCAACGTGGCCTCCAGCTGCAAGGGTCAGAATAAAGATGGTATAGAGACGGAAAAGCTGTTAATGAGCTACGAAACAAGATCAACATGACAACCAGCATGGA